TTTCGACAAGGTTTTGTCATCATCAGGTACCAATGATGATGACAAAACCTTGTCGAAACGTTGTACATTTGCTGTCATGTTAAACTTATATTAAAGTTTTTCTTCATTACCCATTTAAGCCGTCTCCAGCCATTATTAGGTGAATGATGTTTTGATACAGACTTCTTTTTGTTTTTTGGATATTAAATGATAAATACTTTTCCAAGTATGAATAGGATAGTTAATTAGTGGCTTTAATATTACTTGCTTTCCTTTATGTTATTTTATTTGTAAGTGTACAGAGACTTTATCAAATTATATGATTTTATTTCAGATAATTCATAACTCATTTCTGAGCAACTCAAGAAATGCTTTTGGTATAAGTGGGCAGAATACATGGAAAGCATGGTATCATTTTCCAACATCTAGTCCAAAGGTAAAGCACATATTGAATTTCTTTCCAATTATTATTTGATACCTGTGTGACGCTATTTCATTATAAGTATTGTTCAACTGCAGTCAGTTGGCATATTTATATTGAATACTTCTTGTTTCTTAATATCTAAGTGAAATTATCTGTTATTCATTCTGGAATCACACAATTTTAGCAAAGCATCATGTATGATTTCAGGTACTCCACAAACTTAAGGTCTTGACAAGAGGATCAGTTACAGTAGTTTCTCCACAACCTTTTACAGAAATCTCATCCAAAGCTCAAAAAGTTGTTGGAAGTTGGCTTATGGTGTGTAGTGGGATGGTGTTTGGAACTGTTGTTTTAGGCGGTGTGACTAGGTAATAGTACCAAACTTACTTTAAGTGAATATTCTTTACTGGTATAGTGTTAGTATTATTATATATTGAGTTATGGTTGCAGAAGTATTTAGTGAAAAATGATAAAAAGAGTAACTTTTCTCCCAGTATTGCTTGTATGTATATTTGTAAACTTACTAGTGAAGGAAGAAATGTTTCAAAATTTGCACAATTATGGAATCAGTTTATTTAAAGTGAAAAAGTAGGAAGTTGATATTTAAGCTCTTATAAACATGCAACTCTGTCAAGCATAAGAATTTTTGGAGAAGGTTTGAATTTCTGCTTTTTCTTTATTGGAGAGTGGTGGTGTTTTTTAATAATAATGTGATTTCAATAGAAACTTTTAGAGAAGTTAGGTTTAATTTTGTGTGAAAATTGCAGTTTATTGATGAGGTGTGACATTTAGTAGTGATGTACATGATGGTATATCACAGTAAGTCTGATAATAGTTTAAACCACATCATTGGGCCAATATAGAATAATATCACACACACACACACACACACAGAGACTACAATAGAAAAAAATATTTTTAATACTTGACGCAGTTGGTACAATCTTTGAGATCTCCATAAGAAGGATGGCTCATTTTAGGAAATTGTAATTTTTATCATTACTGCTGTAAACAAGTTTGATGATTCTCATCTCTGGTTTGAACTATGTAGGGTCATCATGTTAAAAATTCATAATCATGATAAAGGTTTTGAAGTGAGAAAACAATGATAAAGTAAATGAATTTTACTTTGAAAAATATGAAATGAGATTAAATTGTTAAGCCTACAGTACCCTTCCTCACCTACCACTCAGGTGTTTAATGATTTAACAGTCTTCATGTTTCTTACCCTTTCCATTCTCATCTGTACTCTGTTTTTACTTTAAAACTCCCTTTAATTATTTTTATATTATTATATGTTTACATATTTAGTTTTTTAGGTGTTGAAGATTGTTAACTTATGTGAATGTGTTAAAACTTTGTACTCGTTTATATCAGATTAACCAAGTCAGGCCTTTCTATGATTGATTGGCACCCTTTTAAGGAGTTTCCTCCCAAGACAGATAAGCAGTGGGAAGAAGAATTTCACAAATATCAGCAGTATCCAGAGTACAAATTGTAAGTATTATAAATGTATACTGAGAGATTTCAATTTTGGTTTAATCCTCAGTTGTCTCAGAGCCATTAACCCTATCATCATGGGTCAAAGGCCATGTCATCTCGTTTGTTGACTTACTTTCAAAATTTTATTGAGCGACTATTCTATGAATTTATGTCTATAAATTTGGTATCAACTTGTAAATTATAATTCAAATGTTTGTATTATACATTAGTTAATTTCTTAATTTAAAAGTAAATATTAAAAAAAAAAATATTGATTTTTGTGTGTCATGTAGTATGTTGAATGCAGCACTGGTTCAAATTAGATGTTTGTGATGTCCAAATACAAAGTCTATATTTCAATACGAATTAGGAACTCAAATTACCAATATTGACAAGCTAGAATAAAATAAGAACATCTTATCATTTCTATTTGCTGAGATATCACTATATTTACTGATTCAAACAGAGTGGACTTGCCCACCTCTTTTGATTTTTGGAAACACTTCCTTATGTACACCTACTTCTGTCTATGACATGTAAATAACCAATCAAAACCTCAGAATGTCCCCCTAGTGGCTTTTTTAGCTATTTTTAAGTATTAGGGTGTCAATCTCGTTCTTTTGATACAAGATTTCAAGCTTGGAAGGTAAGTATTTAGTGAGCTCAAAATTCCATATTTTTTTAGACCTAAATACAGCTTAGTTACTAAGCTTGATAAATTAGTGGAATTCTTTGGTATTGATATAGTAATTTATGATTTTTTGGTTATTTCAAACGTGTATGTATATATATATAAAACCTAAGAAAAATTATTTTGTTTCATATCCTCCACATGGCAACCTACGGTAATCATGAAACTAATACAAAGTTCATAACTAGAAGAGATAATTGTTTGCTATACTTCTTTATTTACTGTTCTATGTTTTAAGAATAAAGTTTAATAACTTATTTGTATATAGTAATAATGTATATACATATATAATATATTCTATCTAATAAATGACCATATTTTACAAAATACTAGTCTACTAAAACATAGCCAAGACAGGTCACTTTGTAAAGGCCAGTTTTATATTGTTGGATACGGTAACACAAGTGAATGTGTGCCACGTCATTGCAACTTCTGTAATGTTAGCCAGGAATGGCTGGAAAGTCAATATAATAAAAATAATAATTATATATAAATGTATAATGTTATGAGATTTAAGCTATTTAGACTAAACACTTGTGATTTCATGTTATAATTTTTTGTCATTTTACAACAAAAAAAAGCATAATTTGTATTTATTTCTTAATTTTTTATGGTGGTTACGAGATCGGTCAAATCAACTGAACCCATACAGAGATGTGTTAGTGAAAATAACGGATACAATAAAAAAGTTTTTTCTTAAGAAACATTTGATAATTATCTAGACATTATAAAGATTTTGCATGTGAAATTTGAAAATTTTCTGATGCATAAAAAGTATTTTTAATCTTAAAATCAAAATTGCTTTGCATGTTGTATAGTCAACATGCTAAAAGAAAAAAGGCATGAGAAAAATATTACTTTAAAAAAATTTTAAACTTAATAACAAAAATCTGATATTTTGCATGCAAAAGCCCCATAATGTTTACTGATAATCTGCAAAATTTTGTGAAGATGCGCTTACTAACTTAAAAGTTATATCATGAAAACTATAACAAGCACAAAATGCCCATGCTGAAAGAGTTAACAAGGAAAGTTCATTAGCTTACAGTCAGGATTCACTTATCCAAACTCATCTTGTATCAATTCTATTATTAATTATGAATTGTATTTGTAAAGCTTGTATATGCAAGCTTTGTTACAATGACTTGTAAACAGGTCATATTCTCTCATAGACTTTAATTTTATAGTACTAAGTTTAATCAGCATTTTTCTGAACTATTTTAGTTTTAACCTATGTAGTATTTTTATGTTATGTCTGTTCAGTTGCATTTAATTAGATTGAAAGAAATTGTTACTCTGTGTGTAATAGGGTGCATCAAATGCCCCAGTGTTTAGCAAGTACATTGTCCCTTGTACTAAAATATTCTGTTAGCTAAAAACAGAAGTACTAGAATATGTTTTCTAATTCTGGACTTATTTAGGGGGTCCGCCTCAGGTTTATTTGTATCACAATAACCTTAGCACTGATTTATCCATTATACAGCCTAAAAGAAATGTATCAGAATCATAAGGACAGCTTTATTCTGACAACATCAATTTTCAGGTTTGGTGTCCAGTTTGGCTACTTTAGTTTTCATTCTCACCATTTTCTTCAAAATCACAGCAAATTGGTGGCAAGAACTCCATACAATTGCTGATCTATTAGTGTTGAGCTGTGAATTGACCAGCCTAAACCTGCGCTATAGGTTGCTGTATTCAGTATCCAGTTGGTGGTATGTGAAATATATTTTTTATAGAGGATGAAGCAATGATTTACCAGGCCTTCAGGAAATTTTTTACACATTTTGGTTATGCTAAGCACCCATTCTGACTATGCCCAGACTAGATATGTTGTTGTATTCTATTACCATCAAATCTGGTACACTTCATTATCCATATTCTTATGCAGCCTGTCTAGTGTCTACTCTGTTTTCATATTATGACTGAAGTTATATTTCATACTTATTTTCAGATGATGGATGATGAGATGAATGGTTACAAGCAAAGCATAGTTGAACCATCAACATCTTCAATATAAAGTCCTGCAACTTCAATGACAGTGGCAGCATCATCTCACATACACTCACCAACTTCCACCACTCACAAAACAACTCCAATGATACAGCAGTCAGCAGCCATCTTCAGCCTGGGGAGCGGTATCACAGAGAATGATGCACAAATAACTGGCTCACATTTTCCAACAAGTTGCCAAGTGTTGCACTGCTTGATGTGGTCTATAAAAGAGGGTTGAGCAGAAAATCGTACCAGGTGAAAATCAACTACACTTTATGAGAAAACAAATACTCCCATGATTTCGGAGTGCAAAGCCTATGAGAAGACGATTAAGGTTCTCGATAACAATGCCAAGGTCAGGGACATACTCATCAAATGGCAATTAGTTTCAGCTTCTCTTGAGAAGGTGCAACAACTGGAAAGTAAATTAGCTCAGACTTTTCTACTGTGACCTGCCAATGCTGAACAGCTCATCAAAAATCCAGAACACTTGAGCTTTGTGCAGTCAATGAAGGGTGACTGTACAGAAACATTTGGGCCCCATGAGAAGGTGTTAGCTGGCAAACTCCAATGCAAAGGCATGTAAACAGTCTGAGGCAGACAGGTGAGAGAAAGTGCACCAGGAAATGGCCTTTGTATCAAATAGTTTCAGAAACATCACTGATGAATCCAGCATGTGTAAAAGTGAGAGTGCAGCTACAGCCTTATCAGCCAGTTCTCCAAGGGGTCATTGCCACAGTGTCCATACTGGGACAACAGCTTTCATTCCACATGATATTTTGCTTAGACCTAAACTTGTTTCACTGACAACAATCATGAAAATAACTCCAGTCCAACAGGCTGTCTTTACAGAAGCTCCGATAGAAGAGGTAGGCGATAATCCTTCTAAAGTTTCAACACCATACGCAAGCGGTGATAAATCACGGCATCAGGTTGGACATATTGTAGCAACATCTTGCAAGAAACAGTGGGGTCCTCCAAAGCTCACCACTCTGCACTGGAATTCAAATCTCACTATCTAACCAAAATGTAACTGAAGAGTATTTTACCATTGTGGTAGGAAATATACATGAAATGAAACTTCTTGGTGTTCCATCATACCAACATAGCATAGATCAAAAGTCTGGTAATATCTTTACTGAACTGACAGCTAACTTGCTGGATTCATAGCACTGCACAGACTCTATTATCAATATGGCATTCTATTCAATACCATTCAACACTGAGCATGTCACTGCAGCATATGTGACAATCCAGCAGCACCTCAGCCAGGCACTCGTGTGGTCAGGCTGTCAACATCATGTTGTAGATGTAGAGGTTACCTTCTCTCATGTGTTCAATGACCTACAAATTGAAGTTTCCAACTCACCAGAAATCACACTCTTCTCTCAGTTTTGCAAGAACTTTGAACTGCTGGCACATAGTAGTGATCAGCCATTTTCACGATTCAACCCAATAACATTTAGTGGGGAGGTGTGCAGTATGATTAAGGACTTCAAAGCCAATGTTCTTAAGATCACTCACTCTGAACTCAAATTATGAAAAGATGATTGCCAGGAGTTTGTTGAGCTGTGTACAGTGTTTCTAGGTGGAGAAGTTGATGGACAGACAGATACATTCAAATGACCAGGTGCACTGCACAAGGCTAGATGGATGGCAAAGTTACTGTATTCTATTAAAATCTGTTTGTTTGAGCAGTAAATTTAACAACTGCCTCCTGGCACAATTACCACAAAACAACAGGTCTCAAAGGTGAAGGATTTCCTGAACTTTGCCACCCTTATCTACAGCTTCTGGTGGATGACCTTCATTTTTGCTGCTGATGCTCCCTGGCTTGATCTGAAGCTGTACTTTCATCTGTTGACATGTGAGGCTGTGAACCCAGTGGTTTCAAGGAGTGCGGTTCAAGCATTTCAACAGCATCTTTGGTACCTAATTGCAAAAATGGTGCTTCTTGCAATCTTCAGCAACAAAGTGCCATTGGAAGAATAACCTGCACACACCAAAAGAGGGCTTTGGAATGGAATTTGGCAAGCCCAGATTTCCAGATGCTATCACTCTGTAAAAAACCCTTGTAGATTTGGTTGGGCCAAACTTCTGGTACATATTTCAATTCTACAGCTCAGCCATGAGTTTCTAACAGAAAATGTTAAAGATTGGCCACAATCTGCTGCATATCAAGCATATTAGGCTCTGAATGTCATCAATGATTGTGCCGAACAAGGGGTGAAACTCAGCTCAGATATTTTGATGTTAACCAAAAATGAAGAACATGCCACAAGTGGTTGAACAAGATCGAAAGAAGAAACGAAACCTGCATAGGGGTACAGTGAAACTGTTTTAATGCTTATCATTTTATCAAAATACTGCAGTAATGGCAATTTATGCATACAAATACAAGTTTTATTTCATTAAAAAATGAGTTATAATGATTCATATAGTTGCAGAAATGTTGCTGTAATTTCCTTTTATTTAGAATAAAATACTTCATGAAAGAGTTTCAGCCCTTTAAATTTTGGGTATTATTTCATATTATGCACATCATTTTCATGAATTGAAACATTCAGTTTTGGGGTGGACCACATAGATGGTGTCCAAACTTCTCCAAAATGTGCAATATTTTTTATTTTAAACATGGAATAAATTTAGACTAGGAACAGAAGAAACCCAGGCTTCTTTGAAAATCATGGGGCATAATATATAGTTAAATTAGAAATTTTCAATATTCTTGTTTTTGTGAGTGCCATACTTACAGTTAAGTATAAATAAATTACTTCACTCATATTTGGCATGTTTAAAATTAAGAACTGTGCTAACATCATATGAAAGTTTAAAAAAAATATTGCTTTAATGCAACTTGTTTCCGAAGTCTGATCATTTTTATATTGGTCATGACCCATAATAATTTACTTGCAATATTTAACATCTTTTTTGAACATGCACAAATTTGAGGATTTAGTTCAGTGAGAAATTATAGCTTTTATTTTAAGACAGTGCTCTAACTTTGTGACATTCTGGAGTCTTAGAGGCTCCAGAATATTCAGAACTTTGATTTTAATGCAGCTCTCAAAATTTGTTATTTCTTGCCCTCTGCTCCTTGGCACAGGAATAGGACCAATATTAGCCTATTATAAACTTCCCAAGACCCATTTCCATATTGTTAGATTTTGAAGTGTCGAGACTTGGCTCCAATTCCAGGTGCTAGAGCAGAGCTCCATCAATGCTACGAAACTGGTTTGATAGACTTCAAGATTTCAACATAAAATTCAGTTGACACATTACTAAAAATGAACTTGTATGGTAAACAGCAAAATCATTCATGAACATTATTTTTTCTATTAAGAAAATTTTCGTAAAAGCTTTTGCTCTCACAAATATTCTGTTTCTATTTATAAGTTGTGTTACTGAACATGTTCAGAGCTAATAACATTGTACCATAAATGGTAAAACATCTAATAATAAAAATTTTGCACAGAAAATAGGCTGTGCAGTATGTGAAAGGAAACTGTGTGCATAGTTTTGGAATGTCAAATAATTGCTTGTTCTTTCATAGGATGAACCATGAAATGACGCTACAGGAGTTTAAGAAGATCTGGTACATGGAGTATGTCCATCGAATGTCTGGACGAAGTATTGGAGCCATCTTTTTCTTACCTGCTGCATATTTTTGGTATAAAGGTTACTTTTCCAAAGCCATGAAACCACGAGTTGTTGCTTTTGCTGGGCTTTTGGCCTTCCAAGTAAGAAGTTAACTGACATGAATAGCTGAAATTACATACTAGACTAATAAATGGTCATTTAATATCTTTCTTAGAACACAATAAATGATATTAATCCCATTCTCAGGGATTGTTAGGATGGATAGCTCTCAAAAGTATTAGTAATGTAATTAATTTGATCAACCTTATATATAACTTCTTTTTATATCACAAATAGAGATACATTTGATTCCTAATATGTAACTTTTCTGGTGGTTTGTAAATATTCATGACAAGATATACACAAACAATACATTTTGTAAGTATTCTGTGCTTTTAACTTAGATTAGAAATGTGTTTTCCATTTATAATATTCAAGATGATTCTCAGTATTTTGTTTCATGTAAATGGAAAAAATATAATAATCTGTATGCAGTTCTAGATATGATTTTCTTTTCTGCAAACTCTTGTATAGATTCATCAGTAGCTAAGATTGGTAAGTGATATATCAATCAGGCTTCTGTCATCTACATGAATAGATAATGGATCACAAAAAAAAATTCCCATATTAAATTGTTACTGTAAAACATAATTTTAAATTGTTTTAAAAAAAACCTCCAAGATTTAGTGTGCGTGACAAACATATAGGTTGAGAAAGATGCACCCCTACTTCATTATAATCAAGCAGTCATGTTTTTACATTAAAGTAATACAACTTTTCCCTGGTATTTATGTGATTTAAACATTAACTCTTTCCATCTTGGTCAGTCGATGTGACTGACCTTGCAACCACAAAGTAACCATCAGAGTTTCTAATATGTTTTATGTATCTTCATGAAAATTGGCAAACTTTCAGTAAACATTACAAGTATACAAAAAATCAGTTTTGTCCATGAATATATGGAGTCAGAATGTTGACTGTTCCCAATGCAAAGTGATTTTCATGTTAAGATTAAAAATACTTTTCTTGATCTGAAGATTGTCAAATTTCAATTGCGTTATCTCTAAAATCACCTAAATATATATCAAACTTTTTTATTTCAGTGAAACTTTATATTTTATCTGTTGTTTTCTCTAACTGTATATGGACTCAGTTAATTTGACCAACCTTGTAACCACCATAAGAAAATATGAAATACATCTAAATTACCCCTTTTTTCTTTCTAGAATAACTGCAGTTTGTAACAGAAAACTAGAATTGTGTATATTTTATATTATTACCTTTTGAACCATATCTAACTACTAATCCTGCTATACAAGTTGTAAATTACTCAGTGAATGTAGCTCACTTTACCATATTGAACGACATAGACCATGAGCTATTTTTTCATTATCTTATCTAACCTAACTTAAAAAGTTTCTCATTTTTACATAATAGTTACTTTCATAACCATAGATAAAGAATATGATGAAAAACAAAAAATATAGTACTTACCTTTGACCTCTTGTTTTTTTTTGCTGTTGCTTGCCGATGAACTTTAAGCCTGTTTTTTCATAATGATGGTACTAATACACTAATGATTTTTAGTTATTTAAATAATGCACCTAAGAACACAGAATATAACATGTACAAAACAAGCAATGTCCTATAACTATTATAATGTAACTGGTTTTCTATCTAAGACAAGAAGAACTTAATTCTCTTTGTTGCTCAATCTGACCACCACAATATAAACTTTCAAACTTAAGATGAAATTGACAATGCTCTGTACTGAAAACAATCTAGAATTATACATCATTTGATATATTAAAACTTTGCCTTTCTATTGGTTATAAATGATTTAGTATAAAACATCAGGAAAAATTATTGGCAATTTGTGAAAGAGAGGATGTGACAGGTGGGCATGGCAAGTGGGTCTGATTTTCCAGTTTGATTTCATAAACAAATAAGATTGAATACTATAAAAATTAGACTTTGTCTTAGTATTATCTATCTTATAATGAATAATGTACATGAAATTCCATTTTTCAGATTGAGGATATTTTAAAATATTTTCTTATAAAATTAAGAACTTGAAATTGTGTAATATTAAAACTTTTTTTTATTAACTACATTTTGGTGCCAAATTTATTCATGTATGTTGATAATAAAGTAGTTTAGTTAAACTTTATATGTAACTCTCATGTGCACTTTGACCTACCTGTTGTGAGAGGGTTAAACATGCACGTGGGTATGTTCAGTGTTCAATGAGCTAGAGTTGTTGATGTGTTTATTTGTATGGGCCACATAAAATACAGTTTAAGCTTTTGCCATCTCTTTCGGTGAAGAAAATATAATAAATATTTAGAAATAACCTTCTGTTAAGAGTTTTGAGGAATGAATTAATAGTTGCATATAAATTGAAATATAATATTTTACAGTTGTTGGCTGTCCTTGTGTTTGTTTCATTTACAAGGACTTAATATAATCAGTTCTGTGCTTCAATTCTAGTGTCAAAACAAATGATAATCAAATTTGAAATGTACTTGCAAGTTTTATAAAAATACCAATGGGTTGAAAAGACCAATACTTGTATACAATTGTTAATGATAGTATTTTTACTTAATTCATAATCCATTTAGAATATGACTAGATTGTCTTGTAGTGATCAGAAAAGCATTAAAAAAACATCATTAACATACAGTTTGGTAACATGTTTTTCCATAAACAGATTTTTCTTTCATTAACATACAATTTATGGTAACATATGACACATGGAGATTAAGTATAGTGGTATTACAAATCTTTTTAATCAGAAAAATTCACACAGGTGTAATTGATGTGCACTGGAATGTGGGTAAGTGACAATGTCATTTTCTATATGATAATATAAATCACCAATACTAATGTCGTAGTCTCAAATGTTTATTAGAAACATTTATTAGTATTATAGTCTGTCTTCATTTACTGACAATTTATTGGACAAATAACTCTTTCTGTGTTTACTATACTGAAATTATTTACTTGTAAGGAAATGTATGTAGATGTTTATCTGTACTTGCACTATGCATAGGTGCTTATGAGTTTTATACTTCACATCCATTGATGTTAATTTCACTCATCAGGGACTGTTAGGTTGGTATATGGTAAAGAGTGGGTTGGAAGAGAAGGAAGGACCAGATGCTGTCCCACGAGTTAGTCATTACCGTCTTGCTGCTCATCTTGGAACAGCTTTTGTTTTCTACAGTCTCCTATTGTGGTCTGGGCTTTCACATCTTCTACCCCCTCAGACAGTAAGTTCATCAACAGATTTTCTGTGTACCTCTCATTCATAAAGTTTAATTTTTGCTTCTTTTCTATTCTGTTTAGAAATTTAAATTTGCTTTTCACATACTTTCTGTTTACACCTCAGAAAATAAGTTTACCTTCTCATACTTCAAAGCTAACATAATATTTACAAAATGCATACTTTTTAGAAAGAAAAAAAGGTTACTTTAAAGTTTCACACAGTTACTTGAAGGCAACTTTATGCACCTTTTTCAATTATTATTCCACCTATTAGATCAATATAATCTTGTTCTTTACTTAAGGAATATTTAATCAGTGTCTGGTCAGGGTCATACAACCTATTTTGAGATATGGTTCATCTTAGATAAATTTTGACCTTCAACTTAGAGAAACTTTTTTCAACCAGCTACAATTGTTACAGGAACTGTCAACTATCAAAAGTTCAGCAGTGTTATGTCACTCAACTTGATTTCTGAATATTTTACAGGAGGTGAAATAGTCTTGTGTTTAACAGTTCTCTGAATATAGACTTGGTCATTTTGACCATTCTCGTAACCACCAATATATAGCCATCACTGAGATAATTGTTTATCACCAGATCTCGGGCACCCCCCAGGTGAAATGAACACTTTGGTCTGTGTAAGTTGGCCTAAACAGAAAATGTAGAGATTGGGTAGAAGATGAAGTAAAAATAACCTTTCAACACCTATTCAAAGACCATGATGGACATTCATTTCTCATTATAATCACAAATGGTTCCTAAACCACAGATGGCAAAAGAGTTGGTTGGGTGTTCATCATCTCGTGGAGCAACAACATTCTTGATAAGGCTAGTGAAGCATTACAGCTTACCACAATTGGCATAAAGATGGAGATGAAACCATAAAACAAGCTCTCCTCTTGATTGCTGAAAGCAAAGAACAACAGATAGTGCCACTAAAATAATATTTGTGACTGACTCATAGGCTGTACTGTATACATGTCACAGTGGTTAGTTCACAGATGGATTGCAGATAGCAATGATGTGTGTACCAGGCCATGCTAGGAGGAAAGTGACAAGATTGCAAGAGAAGCCACTTTATCACATCTGGCTCATCTCTACTGGCAGGTTAACCGAACCTCCTTTGCACTAGTAAGGTGAAAATGGCAACAATGGAAGGTCTTCATCAACATTCAGAGAGAATGAGACTACTGGAAAACAAAGTACCATTAGTATAGCTAGGAAAAACAGTTAAGAGTGGTGATTGAGAGCCTGTTTTGTGATGGTGAATTAAGAAATTTCTAGTTGTTGACAGGTGCTATACTGCAGCATATAGGTCATTGGTTAGACCACATTTATAGCACTGAAGCTTGGGCTCCATATCTTTAAAAGAACATTGAATTGTTGGAAATGGTTCAGAATAGGGCCACTAGAATGATACCAAGGATGGAAAGGTTGTCATAGAAGATTGTTTATGATCTCTAAACTTATTTTCTCTTGACAAAAAGAAGAGTTAGAGAGGATTTGATTGAGATGTTTAAGATTGTTAAGGGAATTGATAGTGTTCATGCCTCATCTTTTTTTATTTTGTATTTAATGATGATAATGATAAGACAAGAGGACACAAGTATAAATTTTCCAAGGAGTCAACTTCAGCAGAGAGAGTTTTATATTTGTAACAGGGTGGTTATTCTTTGGAACATGTTGCCTTCAGAAGTAGTCGATACAGTTCATTTAAGGGTAAACGTGATAAATAGTTGAATGATAAGGGCTGGCTTTGAGTTTTTTGTGTTTAATGTAGTGGATAGGATGTCCCTTTTGTCCTTTAATGTTAATGTTATTACTAGTAATTGCATTTGTATACTCACATAACTTCAACAAGAATGTGATACTAAATAATAGTTGAAACTACAAGTTAATGTGACTGAATTTTTTTCACTAATGCTTCTGTTTCAGAAAAATTTCTCACCTGTTTGGATTCGTGCAGAATGGGAATTAATACTTTAAATTACATTGATACTTTTACAGCATTGTACTTTGCATTAGCTACTGCAGTACACCAAATTAGGTTTTTGCAATTGTTTACAAACTGATTTCATGACATATTTAACACTATGTGCTTCACACAGTGAAACAAATGCTTTCGGATGTTCCCACAGAATTCTTAATTGTATATCACTTGTTCACTATCATTATTATAAGCCTAACCAGTTGAATCTTGTGTTCTTCAAATTTAGACAATGGAACGAGTAAGAGCTAGTTCTGACACATCCAAAAATGCATGAAATAAATTGCTGTGATGTTTTATATAGTTAATTGGATCTTGAATCTGTACAATTCTTACAACAATTGTCATTTGTTTAGTATACAACCAGGAGTAAGGGGAAAAAGTAATTCCCTTGTCTTATTCTACGTACAATGTCTTTGAGAAACTTATTGGCTATAAACTATATTAGTTCATTATAAATATGAATTCGTAAACAGTGATTTGAAATTTGTTTGTCAGAACTTCTTCTCACATGTTCCTGCATTATACGATCAAAGTTATCAATCAGTTCAACCATCCCCCAAAATGTTTTAGCTGTACACTGAGTGGAGTTCTTGCATATTACTAAAAAGTGCACGGTTCAACTCTGTTTAGTTGCAACAAGGTATTCTAACACTGGTCTCCAGTATCTTACCTTTGTTTGATACTGAGTTTGTGTTAGTCTGTCTGTAGTATTTTTTTGTTTGTTTTTCCCAGATTAATCTTTGAGCAAATTCTTTCCATTTCTCTGTGCAGTAAGTGTGTTTAAAAGATGACTTGGGATTTTAGTGTGTTTTGACATATCTTTCCATGAATTGAAACTAGTTCTACTTTGGTGATTTGATGACTTCATTGATCATTTTGTCTTTTGTAATTGACTAAACTACCAAATCTTTGAAGATATTTTTGTTATTTTATGTATGTAATTTTCAGCTGTAAATTTCGTAATTTTTTCGGCTCTCTAACTCATCATCAAGATAAAAAAAAATTTTCAAACTTATCTGTATTTCTTCAAAGACTGTAATGCATCCATCACAACTAATCATTTTTACCATTCAAACAGTTATGTTTGCTTACATAATCTCTTTTTACCCCTTAGACAATAATGTACCTTTCAGAGATTCTATATATTTTGCTATATATTATGGAATAATAGGCATTTTATCATGGGATCAGTGTAGCTAATTTTAATGCATTAGTATAATCTGTTAGTGAAAATTTAGTAAAAGCACAACATCAAAAATAAAATGACTTTTCCTTGGTTTACAGACACACGTAACAGCCCAGGTGAGAAAGTTTCGGATGATGGCACATGCAACAAAAGGTGTTATATTTTTGGCTGCACTTTCTGGTGAGTCCTTTGGAATTTGGAATAAGTACTTAGTCTTTTAAGTAGGTGAATTGTTAAAGATTAACAGTTGACATATTATAACATATTCTTCTTTGCGTTCACTTTTTAAGTTCTCAGAATTTAAGGTTTCAACTGTTTACAGACAAATTTATATACTAACTAATTTTTTTATATCTTTCTTCCCAGATAAGTAGCTTTGTACCAGATGTTACTAAGCCACTGTTTACAGTAGTAACAGTTTAATATTGATACATAATGTTTCAGATGCATATAACTGTCAGATATTTTTATTTGGTTGTTGTTAAACACAAAACTACACAATTGGGAACATATAACTGTTAGAACAAATCCTAACCAACATAATACTACATTTGCCATATCCAGTGCCAGTAATGCCTTTTGTTCAATACCAGGTTTTATCAGGATAGCTTGGATATGATGGACGTAGTAGTGGTATAGATGTTATTTATATCATCAACATTCCTGAACAATGACTTTTATGGTGTGAACTAGATTAAGTAAATTAATTGTAATTATTGTCAAGACTATTGAAGTCATTTACTAATTAGAATATTAGGTTAAGAATTAATAATACAGTATTACTTAATTTATATTTAACACCAATTATTTATTCTTTTTTTAATTAACTTTACTATCATTCCTTTTGGGTAAATCATGGTTTTAATATTTTTATTCCAGGTTCAATAGTTAGAAATTTTGTATTAACTGTATATATGAAACTTTATTTAAAAATATGACACTTGTGTTCTGTGTTTATGATTGTAATAATTTTAGTGATATAATATTTTTAGGTGCTCTTGTAGCTGGGCTTGAGGCTGGTTTAGTCTACAACTCATTTCCTAAATTTGCAGACCGCTGGATTCCTTCTGACATATTGGCGTACTCTCCAAAACTACGAAATGTTACTGAGAACCCAACCACAGTTCAGTTTAATCACAGAATTCTGGTTAGTGATTAGTTGCTCATGTCTCTAATTATGAATATTACAAAATTTTATCTTTGTTTTAAAACATAAATTTGATCTTAACTGTCAGTATTATAGAAACATCTCACTGTAGCATGGGGTGTTTTTCATTATACTCTCTTCACCAGGGTGAAACTGTGGCCTGTTTGGTACTAGGTTTGTGGATATATTCAAGAAAAGTACCACTGCCACCACGAGCAAGGATGGCTATGAATTATGTCCTTGTTGTAGGAGCATTACAAGTAAGATTATATCTGTTTATTATTCAGTACTTTCCCACAATTATAATTGTAAATTACTTAAATTTTCATTGCAATGAAAACATCAAGTAGTGAATTTACTATAATAATGTTATTTCAAATCATGAATTAGAAAAAGAGGTAAAGCTTAAGTTTAAAATACATGTACATATACAAAATCCTAGAGTAGAACAGTAAAATGTTATTAAGACACAAAAACTGGGCTTACACAATGTTATATCTATTTGAATATTTAAAAGTTATAGCATGAAACTATAACAAGCACAAAATGGTTACGAGATTGGTCCTAGGAACTGAACCCGTGCTGAAAGAGTTAAATAAAAAATTTACATTACTTTAAATAAATGCCTTGCTACTTGAAAATCAAACATTGGCTATGAATACCACCTGTTGTTTGCATTTAAGTGTCTTTCTTTGTTTTGGTGAGTGCAAAAGAAAGACATTTGAAAACAGTATGTGCTGTTTAGAGAATTCGTCTTGATGTATCCAACAGAGACATCATGTATCTGCAGCAGCCTGTCTTATAGCCTTAGGCTTAGTTGTAATGAGCTTTCTTATTCAGTTAAAAAGAAAAACAATTATGTGTGTGTGTGTTCATTCTTGGCTCTCAGAGCTCAAAGTACTGGATACAAGTATAAAAGAAATGATACACATTACTGACAATATTGAAATCCAAAACACTTATGTATCTAAAAGGATCTGTTGGGACACTAGGACAACATTTCTAAACCTAGGACTGTTATGACAAAACCAGAACATCCAGTCACCTTATTTAAATATAATTTAGTATAAGTTTGTTTATGGTGTATTATAATGGGTATTCTGGATCCATTCCTGACAGTTAACACATCCAGAGATGAAAGTTGTTGCTTGTGTCTGTCTTCCATATTAATTTAAATGCAAACCTTCAAGCTGTTAAATGGTATAGGAAAGTTGGAAGGGTTATTCTCTCATGTGAATTTATGATAAAAATATAAAATTTTCCCATTTTCTGAAGTTGTTTTTATTAATTCTCTATATAAAAACTTTTCAAGTTGCTATTCCTTTGCTTCAGTTTAAATTCTCATCTAGTATATGATAACCTTTCACAGACTAAAGCTTTTTTCAGCCTTCTTGGTTATCTTACTAATGCACATAGTATAAGTTTGGAGTCTTAGATCTATAGAGATATGTACGGTATTTTTTAAATCTTGAGAGCTTGGATATATTGTTACTCAGTTTGCATGCCTGTAAATAGTTTTAATGTGGTGTAAACCAATTTTTGTCATATGTTATTCTTTTCAGTATTTTAAGAAAGAAGAAGAATACTTTGTTAAATGTTGTTAAGGAAAACATTTAAAATATCTCTTATTTTTCACCATTTGTGATGCAGAGTTATTTCTAATAATTACTCTTTGTTAGTTTCCTTCTTGTTCATTAACACTTCTAAAGTGATGTCGAGACCCAAAGCATTTATCAAATACAGTGAACTTTTGTTGGATCCTAATCGTGTATGAAATAAATGTAATTAAATACAATTAATACTATATATGTTGCTAGGAATTCATTGTGATTAATTCAAAACTGTTCTTCCTGTATCCAGGTTAGCCTTGGAATTGCAACTTTGCTTTTTTATGTTCCGAAAGTTTTAGCTGCATCACACCAGGCAGGGGCTCTGACACTGCTTTCAACAGCAATCTGGTTAACACATGAAATGAAGCTGCTTCGTAGGTTACCCAAGTAAGGAAGACTTCCAGAAACAAGAAAGGGAACAATATTTTGTAACTTTTGAACTGTGATTGTTGTTAGAGTTCTTGTTGTCAGAAAGCAATACATAGACAGAATTGTGATTTAAAATGAAAGGGGTCTTGAAACATGTTCTATGTATATGCAAGTAATAAATGAGGGGTGTGTTGTTAAACTGTTTAATCTTCTTTCTTTATGGGCATGTAGGTGACTGGCTGAGTAAATATCAAATTCACAGCTGCTTCACTTTCTGTTATTTAAGACCATTATTTTAATTGGAAAGGTGTCAAAATAATACTTTTGTTAAAAACTGTAAGGATTCCCAGGGCTTAACAAATGCATAACCTTAAAAAACTAACACAATAATCAAACTTACTTAAGTATTTCTTAACTGCTTTTAGAAGAAGGCTATTAAATAATTTATCATGAGTTAACTGAAGAAAACTAACATGGTGGAAATTTAAAGGTTTGTTTTTATAAAGGTTTTACTACATACATACAAAATATCAATATTTAACATTTATGTGTGTCATATAAAAATTATAACCAAAATTTGTTATTGGTAATTTATGTAGTTAATTACTTTAGAAATAAAACACTGATAAAAAAATTTCTAGGCAGAGGTACCTCCCAATTTTTCACTTTGATCAGCTAACATATTAGACTAGATAGTTTAATTTTAAGTATTACTGATTATATTATTGATATGATTAGCAATGCATAAATAAATGTGTTTGTGTTGTGACTTTATAAACGTTATTATTCATTGCTTGTGTAATTTTCTATTGGTTGGAAAGAAAATCAAGTTGAACCTTAAATGTTTTTGAGTGAACAATAAAACTATGTGCTGACTTTTAGCTTTCCTTAAAATTTTAATTAACCATGATAATGTTCAAATATGTATGCAGAGTAAGTCTGGGTTTGAAAATTCAATCAAATCATCTGATTTGAGTCTATTCATCTTATTTTTTGTAAGGTAGGATCTATTTTTCTGCTTGTAGGTTAATAAATCCCAGCTTTCTATGTACTTATAACTCAGAGGATTTGAAATATATTCATAAGATTTTTAACAACGCTGAACTGTTCTTAATTTTTGGAAAACATCTCATTTATGCAAAATGCATATTGTAATTTAATTATGTGAAAAATCTTTGTCACTAGTCAATATAAAGATAATTTTCCATCACTTGCAGATAACTGATATTCTAACTAGGTTTTTATATTTTTGCAGATTTTTTAAATTAAGAGCTTTGGTTTTTTACAAAAGCTAAACACTAATTTTATTGTTTTGAACATTTGATAAATGCATATGTTTAATGTTAATGTTAATTCTTGGATATTTTATTCTATTAATTGTTACTGTACCTCATATTTTACAGGTATGTTACTGACAAAAAGAGAATTGGGCAATTGAAGAATAATCAGGTGTGTGTGTGTGTGTGTGTGTATGTATGTGTGTATATATATATATATATATATATATATACACACA